CAGAGTATATTTTTGCTGAGTGATGCCAGATGAGTACCGGAAGCCGTCGATTGGTCACGTCGAGACGATTCCACTTCCGCTGGTCAATGTCGAATGTACGTTTCAACTCTAGTAAATCGAATGTACTTATTTTTTTCAATATTTCTTACTCCGCCATCAAATAGAGTGTAAACTTCGACAAGTACCTAGTATGTAAATGTAGATGTTTTGGCGCAAGTAATACAGGGTATATATATATTTATTCATAGAATGTTTTTTAATTTTAATTGTACACCAATAAAATTAAACAAATTTACTGCGTATTTACGAATGAACTAAATAATACCTATATTGTCTTTAGCAAAATAGAAATATTTATAGTCAATTTAATATTTTAAGTTTGTGCCATAATTTATTTTATTACGGTCTGTTGAATAAGAGAAATTAACTTTATTTTATGATTCCTTTAAAGGTTAAAGAAATGGTTTGTATCAAACCTTGCAGTCCGTTTAATTAAATATAATCTAAAATTGCTGTCATTTAAATGCTTAATTATTATTAAACAAAAGTATTAAAATTTGCACAACCTAATTAATTCATAATTTTATCGTCTTTCCAGAGTAAGTAAAAAGTGATAAACGTTTTTCCTCGCGGGTTATGGAAGCGGATATTTTTCTGTGTCCGTTTTACTAATCGGTTTTATAAGTTGATCAGACTTCTGTGCCCCTTGTTTTCCCGGGATATATTCCAGAAGTGAAGATGGTGCCAAGTCAAGTCACTAGGCTTCCAAACGATGATTTGTCTACTGTGCGTAGTAAATACGAATAGTAATCTAATAAGGCCACAAAAGCCTACCGAGTAATGGCAACCTCCGTGACGTGAAAGGTCATTGAACCCACTAGCGGTACTCGGGCGCAACCAGCGTTCAATATAGCGCTAGCGTTGTCACATGTTCTGTGACAGTAGTCTTAACATTTATAACGTAAAAAATAGCGTCATTTAACTTTGAAAACAGATTATATAAATAATTTTGAATGGACCTTAAAAGCTTTTACATTGTAGGAAATGAATGAAAAAAAATATTTTTAAAATACATTTTGAATCACTTTAATTTAACAAAATTTGTATTGCAAATGATACAAAAATAATAATATAAAAAAATATTATTAAAAAGTTATAAAAGTCCCTATAGATTTTTATTTTTAATTAAAATATTTATAAAATTTGAATTTTTAATAGTAATAAAAATAATACAGTGTTTGATGTTGTTGCTTAATTTAATTTCTCTAATAATCTTTGGAACAATTTCTCTAAACTCTTCGTTAGTGTATAGCTGTTAGTTTTACACACACAAAATAAAATTAAACAAATAAAAACGACTATACTTGGTACGATTTTCTTGTGTCTTTATTTGTGGTTATTGTTTTCTAGAAAGTGACAGAAAACCGAACGTCGAGTTATAGACACTTTCATTTGATGACTTTAAAATCCTAGACAGTAAGCAACGGAGCGCGTTGAATTCTTTTCAACGTAGTTCGGTCGTGCGTTAAACTGTAAAAAACCTAAAACTACTACTAATTGAAATAGTATTTTTAATTGTAATGGGTGATTATGATACACGCAGTAACTAACTTTAAATAGCAACGGGTGTGTAAAAATGAATTTTCTTGCAGGAGACATATTTCTGTGACCGTTTTAATAAGCACTTCCGTTTACAGAGAAGTTGATCAAACTTCTCTCCCATACGCGATCGAAAAAAAATCCTATTCCCAGGATTTGAACCCAGCGTTTGTAATATATTATTTACAATAACCTACTAGTGACTACTACTTTAATTGTAAATTCAAACATTACACAACATTTATCTTTTGAGTATCTATAAATGTTTCAATGTTTGAGAACCTGTAAAAATGAACCTATCGTTTTTCATCAATGACTTCTAGTTTTTTAAATTTAATTATACTGGTATGTACATTCAAAAAATCAGACTCAAAGAAGACAAACACATTCAACCTTACATATTAAAGGTAGATGCTAACCATCTCTTCGTGACATCTTTATCATGATATCGTTCCCGTCGAAGTAGGTAATACCTACGCTAAGTTAAAAGAAACTGGCACTTTATTTTGGAAAGTTATTTAAGTTTATTTCGTCGCCGGCATTTCACTTGAAGATACTTTCACTTGTTGACCATACCTACAGTGTTTTTAAGTTTTATTGAGTCGAATAATATTTATTCAAATCTCTTTCTTAAACAGTAAGAATAGTCCGTTATTCGTGCGAGTGAAACATTATTAATAAAACCTGTTTAACTGGATACATCGCGAAATAAATGAGTTATATATTTTTTAAATAAAATCTTTCACGTTTCAAACCGTTAATTTTAAGATTAACGGTTCTCTTTCTATTTAAAAAAGTTTGTTGGACGCCTTAAAGAAAGAGACAATGAAAGTAGTTTTCCCGCCATTAAATATATTAACGATCATGATAAACTAATGTGGCTTCTTAATTAATTATATAAATAATTTATTAATTTAAGGATAGGTATTTAACAAGCCAAGCACAACGGTTAAACTCACAGCACTTCAAACCCCAGTGAATCGTGTAAAAGCTTTGATCGCACAGAGCATAGTCTGACCGACTGACCTGTAAATAATCATTTGAAACTGACACAGAAAAGTGTCTGTCCCAAGAGGGAATCCTTACTTTTATAATTATAGTAAAGATTAGTTAATTCTGAATTCTAAAGTCAAGGCAGGTATTAGTGAATGGTGGTAGTAAAGTGCTACTATGGAGGTAGATCTCACCTGCTAAGTGTCTCGTGTCAGCTTCAACGGCCACAATGAGAGCCACGAGCCAGCACGCCACCCAGGCGCCTCGCATGATCACAGAACTAATCACATGAACACAAACACATAAAACACACTCTGGCCAAGTTTTCAAGTTTGGGAAGTGGTGACGTGTGACTCGCTCGACCGGCGACTACACGTCGTCGTCTTGCGGGCGTCAGTTTCAGACTAAACGGAATTGCACGGCACCGGCCGGCCAGGGTGACAGGCTTATAAAATTAATTTGCCGCGTAGGATCGCTCTTGCTTTCGTATCGTGAATGTGGTCTCTAAATTAGGTTAAAAATATATTTAAGATAACAAAAGTTTATATCGATTATGCATTGATGACAATATAATATTTTAATAAAACACTTTAACCTCAGTCCAAAAAAAAAAATATATATATATATATATCTCGCGCTTTAAAGAGTTACAGTGTTTGATTTAAATATGATAATATTTTTTTTCTTTGTCAGCGTTGGCGATAACGCAATGTAATATAATTATGTTGCCTTAATTTCCAGCTTCCATAAAAGTATTCTCTTTAAAAACGTTTATCAGTTCATCTAAAAATAACAAAACACCAATGTCATATAACTTCATACATGTAAATAGTATTCAAATTCCATAGACGGTACTCTTTCTTAAAGAGAAGATTAAACACTTATTAGTTAAAAAAAAAAACAAGAACGTCAAATCACTTTAATAAGAGTAGTACTTCTTATTAAAAACAAGCGCTTCTTTTATTTCTAATCTTATATCTATGTAGCTTTTTAATATGATAATATGTAAGACTCAAAATATTCTGGTTCATGGGCAACTATTTTATAACCGGCAACACTTATTCACACAGGTGGTCAACACGGTTCTTTGCGTTTGGTATGTTAGCTAAACGAGCTGGCAAGAGTAGCTCACAGTCACAACTCGCAGGTACACTGATAAATTGACTTAGGTTCCAGTCTACAGTATTCCTAAAGCAGTATTAGGTTCTTAAATACTTAATTTCAGAAATTGTAATTAGACAAAAAAAACTACCTACTTACAAATAATAAAAGGTTCTAAGTAAAAATACTCTAGTTAGACAAAAAGCGTAACGATAATATTTTCTGTTTTTTTCACAAAGTATGTGATGGTTTAATATTATTTCGTAAACAAAAACTAACTGATAATGTTTTTCTAGTAAGTAATCATTAATAAGTAGTGCGATAACAATAAAATGTTTAGTTTTTAACGTCCTGTTTATCTGGTGTCTGGTACTTACGTACGGCTTACAAGGAAAATTATAAATTTAAGTAAAACTTATACATATGGTCATCGGGTTTTCCAAAACTTTTTCTCTGAAACCAGTCTTAACTTACCTACTGATCGTCGTAGGTAAATAATCCAAAATCTTTTATAACCTTTGTATGGAGAGTAGTTAAAATACTATAATCAGCGTAAAAAGTATTTTACTGAAATTTGTACTACTGGCGTAAACTGCAGACAATCAGAAATTATAGATTACCATTAACAAAACTGTTACAACAGAATATAGATGTTGAAGAAATTTACTCAATTAGGTAGGTATTGTTTTCTAATCAAGATTTGTTTAATATTATATATTTAAAACTGCAACGATTTTTTATCAAGTCCTAAGTTATTATTAAGTAATATTATTTAGCGAAGGCACTAAATAATATTCCTTAATAAAATGGTATTTTTACCTATAAATGAACATATTGTACTAGATATTGTAAGTATAGTGTTCCCTGTGGTTTCCTAAAATTGTTTTAAATAATATTTTGAAAATATTGGGAAAATTATTTGTAATTTAAAAAAGCTATTTTTAAATTTAATTTCCAATCTATATTTCCGCGACATAGAAACAATCATCACTGTCAAATTTGTTTTAAATTATCCAAATTTAAAAATAAAAGTTTCAAACTACGGCTTTGCTTTATCGAATAATAATCGACCTTCAGTTGAACACTATCTGTAACTTTTAGGTGACAATTGACAAAATGCCATCTGCCAAAGTCATAAATCGATTTATCAATTAGGTATGCTTTTCTGTTTTTGCCTTTGGTATTGAATTTAAATTTTATAAATACTATAGTTGCTAACAGCAAAATATAAGGCTTAACATGGCATCATATATATCATATGAATATTGAGATCATTTTTGGATTCTAAGTCTAGACGCCGGGAGAACATGGCTTCGGAAAAGGCAGATTTACTTTTCTTTGACACCTTCTCACATGATGCAAGCGAGGTAAGGCGATACGAGAACAATATTTAAAGTACATACAGCATATGTATTTTACAAGTATAGTAAGATACTGTAGTACTTTAAAACATTTTCATATATCTTATAATATCCTCAACGTTAATTAATATTTTCCAGGAACTAAATTTGGATCTTGTACAATTTCCTAAATCAGTTTTTGTAACTGAAATTAGGATAATTCCATTAGGCGCTCGTGTCGAAGGAGATTTTCCAGGAGGTGTAAGGCTAGGCGCTACTAATCCTACAAAATTTCATATAGACTTCTTTGTCAATGACCTAAGCAAACCTGGTGCATGTACATTTGAGGCGCTAGGGAGTTTTGATTACTGTCAAAATGGCCAGATACATATGGAATGCAGTACTGACACTGAGCAACCAAAAATACCAACAGATGGACTTGTTTTGAGAGGTAAAGTACACATTTAAGTAAAACACCTTCGATAGTTCAAACATGAAATTTATTAGTTAGCAAGCAGTTGTACTAAATGATGCATATTTATCACTTAACTTGTAAATTATAATAAAGTTCTTGTACTTGCTTAGAAATAAACATTGCTTTATACATATTTATTATAAATGTTTTATTAAGATTAATAAATTGAATAACTAAAAATTTGTGTTAAGTTTATGTGAGTAGTACACATTTAAATAAAACACTTTAACGGTTTAAAACCTGATATATTAGTTAAACTTATTTGAAAATGATTTATCATAAGGAACTTTGCGCTCATAAGAGGGTGCTCTTTTGTCATATGGAGACCGTTCATAGGAACCTCTTCGAGATCTCTCATAAGATGGGCCGCGTCGTCTTTAGTTATCTTTTTTGTATGGACCATGGTCCCAATCCCGGTCCAAATAAAACACTTTAACGGTTTAAAAGGCGATATATTAGTTAAACTTATTTAAAAATCATTTTTAAATAAGTTTAACTAATATATCGTGTTTTTGGTATGATTTGAGTTAGATTTGGTTACACACAAATCTTTGTGCTTTCAGGCTGCTATACTACAATAACTTTAGCAGTTTATGGCAACTTGACGCAAGTTTTACCAGAGACACCTGTAACTGGTAATGTCCCTCCAAACATACAGAGACCAGTTAGTCAAGAAGTAGCCGCACTCCCACCCAATGTACCACAATCTTCAGACTGGAATCAAGATGGCTCTAATCCTATTCCATCATATACTGGCAATGTAGCTACTGCTAACCCAGAAGGTTATGAGGCCAATGCATATGATGAAAACTATGACAACCCCATGTTTAGAAATGACTACTATGATGCTGAACCTCCAAAAGATCCCAGGACTTATCATCATTTAGAGGAAAATGAGTGGGACAAAGATAGACGTGATGTTAGTTCTGAAAGAGACCCAGATCGAAGCAGACACAGTCCTCGTCCTTTGGAGCTGGATAGAGAGAGGAGTGATGGCAGAAGCAGAAAACGTTCCTTAGACAGGGGTAGAAGCCGTGAAGCTTCGAGACATAGAGATCGTAGCCGCGAGATTGACAGAGATAGAATTGAACGATTATCAAGGTCTAGGAGTCATGATAGGGAGTACATAATGAAAGATTATCGCATGAGCCGCTCTCGTTCGAGGAGTATTGACCGGGATTGGGACCATGGTGCATACAAAAAAGATGACTATAGACGACGCGGCCCATCTTATGAGAGATCTCGAGGAGGTTCCTATGAACGGTCTCCATATGACAAAAGAGCACCCTCTTATGAGCGCAAAGCTCCTTATGATAAAGCTGGTGCATATGAAAAACGTATGTCACCATATGATAAACGTAGTTCGTCTTATGAACGTCGCGGTTCCCCGCCTTACAGCAAACGACATTCACCATATCGGATGCGAACATCAAGCTATGGTAGTAGATCGCCAAGTAGAGATGATACGAGGAAAAGACCGAGAACACCACCTGGAGGTAGACCTTTGTCGCCTAGAGAAGGAGAAGGCAGTCCCAATAACTCATTGAGATCTGGAGATGGTGAATATGATAGAAATGGGAAGCAAATTCCTCGGGTTGACTTTTACCACCAAAACTATAGACATAAAGCCTCAATCCGAAGCCCATCTCAGGAGGCAGAAAGTACCTATACTGAACCGCAGCATTCAAGTCTTGTGACAGTGCCTATTGTGGATAATGCAACATCAAAGACAATAGAATCACCTATAGGTAACACAGAAGACAAATCTATGGAGGCAGAACAATTTGAACCAATTCTATCAGATGAAGACATTTGTGATGATTTAGAGGGATCATCTTATATGGATGTTGAATATGATGTCAATGAATATGATGGTGTTGAAGACATAATCAAATATTATAATCCCTTCAAGGATGAATGGAAGAAATATCAATATGTTAACAAAATATATATGGTTGCCGATAAAGGTAATGATTCAAAAGATGTAAAATCCGCTACTTTCAAGGAGTTGTGTGAGGTAAATGTTGATCTGTTCAAAATATCCGAAATCACACAATCTATTAAAAAACGAGATCAGAAATTCTTTTCGAGCACTTTTCAAGATATAGATAATTCCTCCAGAGAAGAATGGGTGCACTTGTGCGAACAATTGTTGGTGTCTCTTACAAACCTTTGCAAAAATACAGATATAATTCTTCGTATTTTTCGATCTTTTGGAAGATCGGATGCCAATGATGAATTTGCTGATATTTACATTGTATTAGTTACTTTTTGTAAGATCGGTCTAAACTTTGAATTGTCGCTAGCCCAACAACAACCTACATATAAAATTAGACATATGAAATGTGGAATTCGCTTAGCTGAAGCTCTGATGGGTCACAAACATAATGGTCAAGTGATGAAAGTATTGTTAAGTACTGGCATTGACATTCCAATGTCGCTACTTGAAATGTATAGCAAGGAATACATGGCCCTTAGCATTCGTTTAATGATATTAAAATCATTGAATGCATGTTTGTCTTCTAAGATCTCTGTAGATCATTTTATGCAAGAAACTGTATTTCCACAGTTTAACAAAAATGAAAATGATAGAAGAGCAATGAACGGCTACCAAGCACTTATAGCCATAATGGAAAAGAATCCCCTTGCTAGACTGAAGTTTTCCATCAGCGCTTTGATAAAGAAACTTAATATTTACGAAGTATTAGGAAAGTTGCACGAATTGGTCCTGCAATTGGACTCAAAAAATATTGATAATCAAAATGATGTTGATCTACCTGAATCCGATATAGATTTTGTTATACATTCACTTGAGGAAATTTTGTATATGTATAGAACTCAATGCTTCCATTTGTCACAACCGAAAAGATTTCTACCAGTATCGGCTCAGTTTGAAATAAACAAAGAAGGTTCTAACGAGACTCTGCTGGAATTTTTCAATATTCATCGCTTTTTGGAAGGTTGCTTATTTTTATTAACATGTCCGGCAACTTGCATTAACTTAATGATAACATGTCGAATCCACGATTTGCTATACGAAATGGTCAATTCGTACAACGGTTTGATGTATCTATACGAAAACATGGCGGTGAGCGAAATGTTCTTCAAAATTCTTACGCAACCGTACAGCCAGCAAAACAATGAAGAGACCTCTTATCCGCATGACTCTAATTTGAGTAATTACAGTGAATTACAAACCCTAGGTCTTGAACTCGCTTATCGCCTCAAAGCACTTTATTATTTGGAGTCCATAGCTGATATTCAAACGGGCAAACCTGATGATAATGAATTAATCGATAGACTCCAGAATTTGTACTGCCTCAGTTTCGGGAGCATCGGTAAAACAGCAGTTCCAGAAGTAATTGTAATGGGCGACAATGCTGATTGTTTAATGGTGGTGTTTGAATACAGTACGAAAAATAAAAACAAAAGTGAGTCGCCAATTAAACAAAAATCACCCGCAAAAGGTTATGCTATTGAGCTCATTGTATCTGCGATCCGTTATTCAGCGAATGTGCCATTTTTAAAGAAATATGGACAGCGGCTTATGAATGTTTCCAAGGAAAACGATAGATTCGAGCCGAGCGTGTCTAGTGTTCTTCAAGAAGCTTTACCTTATTTGAAGCCATTAGAGAAACCAGGCGTCTTAGCAGGTGAAGATCTAGCAGAATGCGTGGAGATACTAAAAAGTAGTCTAGAACATTCTTCAGACTTGCCCGGCGAGCTCATGACCTGTTTGAGAATCTTACGGTATTTCTGCGTGTCGGATTGTGATACAAAGGCTAATATTATATGTGAATCACCAACAGAGGAATACGTTGAACTGAAATATAAGTACAATGTTTTGCAACTATTTTCTTTAGACGGTGTAGCCCACATTGCAGGGATATTGGACAGGCTGGCAACACATTTTGACCAACCGAGCATGCACACATCTTTCTTTGCCTCCATAAAAGGCTTACAATTGGCTCAGATTCTTGTCCCATGTTTGCGGTTGCTGGATGAAATGTTGGCCCGTGTTGTACGCTGCAGGGGTCCAAGGTTTAGAGATTTAACTGCTGCGTCTATTCTATTAAAAACTTACGGACTCGCTAAAACATTTCCGGTGGGATGTATCGGGTATCGAACAGCAGCAAAGGCGGCTGAAGCGTCAGTCAGGGCGTTGCTTGCTTACGCACAACCTATCGCAGACGACGGCAAAGATGGAGATTCAATCAGACGCGGGCCGTGGACGTCCTTATGTTCAGAAGTGATTGCATACACCATGACGGCTCCGTACACGTTTGTCCCCGGTTTATTAATCTTCTCGGAGCTGTTACCTCTACCACTGCCCATACAGACCAAAACTCAACCATCAGAAAGAGAATTAGCGGACGCATCTAACGAGAGACGTTTGTGGTCTGCTCATCTTCACGCCCTCACCAACGAGTTAACGGATATGATACAAATTATTTGCATGTCCACATACCGTCCCGTGGTTCACATGCTCCGTCGTGTTTGCATCCAAATTGCAGATTTAGCGCCAAACACCGCTGCGACAGTGGCGAAAGCGGCAGTGGGAGCTGTGATCCGCGAAATGAAAGAAAGCGAGCCGGCTTCGTCCAGTATGGCCAGAGTTTTAGGATTCTTAGCTTGTCTCGTATCACACGCCCCAGTTAAATGTGCGGTTATCCATGGAATGAGTAATGGTCCAAAGGCCAACGAACTTCAGACGGTTCTTTGCGGTGTACTGAGTGTGTCCAACGCAGCAAACGATCACATAGCTGCCCAAGAATATGCCGCTCACACATTAGCCGCTTTGTGCGATGCCGAAGTTACCTTAACTCCATTGAGCGGAGCCACCGAGTCTGTCTTGGCTAATTCCTTGCCCAATAAGGAGACTTTGAGCGTATTACTTGACGCTACGGCGGATTGTCTGGGGTCGGGCACTAGGACGTGCTCTGTGGCGTCTTCGATATTGCGTGCGTATTATGTGCTGACGGAACATGACTATGGCTTTCAACAGTTCAGAAAATTCGTGACGAGGCAGCGCACCCAATTGGGGAAGTTCTTCAGATGGGTAGTGGAGGGCCCTAGCGAAGACAAGGTGGAATGTTTGAATCTTTACATGGATATGATGAAAGTGTTAAAGAGCGAAGAAGGAGTGGGGGGTTTGGGGAGGAAAGGAGTATTATCTGTGAATGAAGTTGCCGATATGGTTGACTTCACGAGTGGCGCGGAAGAGCACCCAGTGCTTTCTTTAGAAAAAACCCTAAAAGTAAGCTACACTTTTACATTATAATCTTTCTGTTGATTTTCTTTTATTAATTTTATCTTTTTTTCAGGAAAGAAACGCTGATGATGAAACTGTTTCAAATGCAACCTTCTTGATCACCACTCTGCAAAAGAAGTCAAGCGAAGAGGCAACGGCAGCAACGGAGTCAGCTGACTTGGCTTTGCCCACTCCTGAGTCGTTGGTTACGCAATTCGCTGCCCGCCAAGTGTACACGATTGGCGATTCTACTGACGAACGCCTGACTTGTAGTTATTGGCTAAATGTCCCCTTGCCGAGCGGCGACGAAGACATTAATGACAATGAATTAGTAAGTGAAAATTACAATCATCATATTTTTAAACATTTTTTTGACAGCTAGAATCTGAAATTTACGTGACAGAGTGAGAACCTTTGAATTACATTGAACTGTTTGAAACGCAAAATATATAATTGTAAACTCGTTACTTTTATTTACAAATTTACATATTTCTTACTGACTTTGTCTAAAGTTAACATTTTCACACAAAATCGTTGTCTGCGTTTTACGTCTTCATGACATCGCCGAAAAGTGAAACAGTTAACGTACCTTACGAACTATTTCGCGGATTTATAATTCCTGAAATTAAATTGAAAAAATGCATAAAAATTATTTACAATATGAATTTAGTGAGGTTGTTTGTAACTGAAAAAATCTTAAGTTCTTTTGAGTATGACTTTTTTTAAGATACTTTCTTATTGCGTCTTCTGGTTATAGTATTGTGTGTGTAGACAACTAGGCTAAACTGACAAATTGTCTCAGGTGTCATGTGACGTATTGGAGATCGCGAACACCTTCCTGTCGGGCGCTTGCGGTGGCGAAGCCCTGCTTTGCGCTGTTCGCAGACTCGCCGGTTGCCTGGAGACTCGCACGGAAGCTCTACCCTGCGACGACAAGAGACCAGCAGGTATATCTTCAATTTGAACCGGAAATAGGAATTGTGTAAAGCAAAGCAAAACGTTCGGTTGTGTTATGTCTGATCATAGAATTATCTGTAAATTAAATGAAACTGTGAAACGGACACAAACATGTATTCGCTCATGCCCCACGGGTGGAATTGGTGGTGGAACTAAGGATTTCTCGCGTTTAACTTAATGCTAGGTAACACGTTTAACGATTTAGCTACAGAGGCGGTTTCTCTTCTACTATTAAGAATTACAAACGAAGAGTTATAAGTTTTACTTATAATACAATCTGATTGAGTGTATGTATGTATGTGTTCGTGTATAAGTGTGATTGTGTTTGTGTCTTTCTTTGATTATTGCAAAATGAGTAAATGTTGGGTACCAACTATTTAATTAAGAAATAAATCTATATCTTTATAAAAATACTAGTTTACGCGAGTACTCGTTTAAATAAAACAATTTTCCCCGTGACCACGGGAGCTGCAAAGCATCTAAACGTCAGTTATAATAAGTTTTACTAAATCATTTCGCGTTTTAAACCGTCAAGTATCTTGAACGGTTGAATACGTAATTGAATACGTCTATATATTTCAGTTGCGTTAAGCCGTGTAAGGGGTGAAGGCGGCGCAGATGCGTTCCGGTCTCGACCGCCGAACACCTCTCGTCCGCCATCCCTCCATGTCGACGATTTCACTGCCCTGCATCAGCCGTACGCGTCTAACAATAGGTAAGTTGGTTCTTTGAGCAAAATCCCTTTTTTTGTTTATGGTACAAAACGCGAAATATATTAGAGTTTTTATTTGAGATGTAATTGTTAATAACTTAACCAATTTCTATCATGTTGTGCTTTCTTTTTCAAAAGGGTGTTTATATATATACTATTATACAAAACTGAAGAGTTTGTTTGACCGCACTAATCTCAGGAACTACTGTTTCGAATTAAATTATTTTTGTGTTAGTTTAAGCATCTATCGAGGAAGGTTATGGGCAATACAGCTGCGACAAATAGGATCGAAGAAAAAATGTGAAAACTTCGGAAAAATTATTCATCCTTCTGGGTTTCTGTTGCGTACCTTGCAAACAAAGAATTAAAATACCCAAAAAATATGTAGAAAAGAATGATTTATCTTTAGACGATCTAAAAAAGTGGCCATATACTTGAAATGTCTATCTTTTAAGATTAACTTGTAAGAACTACGGGACGCGGACGTTAAATTTATTAAGTTGAGGTTTGCAGAAACGAATTTTATGCCCAAAATAATTATTCTACGCGAACGACGAGTCGCGGGCACAGCTAGTCTATTTTGTTATGTTGTCAAGATGAATATTATTATGTTTACTTTATTACTTTTGACCAGAATTTAATACCATAAGCGATAAAAGATTAACTTTTCCCGTTTTTTTTTCATGATTCCTTCACTCCTATTTAGCCTAATGGAGCCGCCATTAAGCTATCCTCGATAAATTTTCTAAAATATTTTTTTAATTCGAACTAATTATTCCTAAGATTAACGCGTTTAAACTCTACAGCCTTAGAATATTATTATATCTAAAAGCATCATTTGACTGAAGTCTCGTCTCGAGAGGTGACAGCGTCTAATAATGTAATAATACCTAATTGTGTGTAAAAGGGGGATCCGACGCGGTGGCGCAGCCCCCGACCGAGGCAGATTCGCCAGTGCGACCCCACATCAACATTACAGGCAACTGTAAGTATATTTATGTAGTCTACGCGAGCAGTACAGATTTAAATAAAATATATAAAAATAAATAAATAATTTTTTAACAATTACATTACAGACGCGGTCGAGGTGCGTGGGAGATGGGTGCCCAACATTTCGGACATTTTCCACCTGCACAATATATGATAGGTAAGCAACATATCTGAGTAATGTCTCTAGTATACACTAGTTGTACACATTTAAATAAAACACTTGTGTTTAATTGACTCACGTGAGTCTTGCAAATACTGACAAATTTTGTCTAATACCAACTACGACAGAACAGATGGCGCTAGTGTAGCAGTCTTTACTTTGAGACACCCTCCATCTTTAGTCCACCCGTGACCACGGCTTGCTGCAAAGCATCCGAAACATCAAGCCTTAGTTAAAACAAATTTTAAATAAGTTAACAGCATTTTGCTTTTTTAAACTGTTAAAAGTGTTTTATTTAAAAGAAAAATATATGATTTCATTGGTTGCATAAAATCGTGGTGGTCAATAAGCAGCTGATAAAACTTAAAACAATTATGTGTAGAATATAACACCAATAAATAAAAATAAGTTATTTTTTTACTTTGTATACAATTTTTTTTTCGTAGTAAATAGATATTTATTTTAAAAAATATGGAAAAATTGTTGCACACATAAACATAATTAGACTTACGATGCTTTGCACGTCAAATGAAACTATAACTACATCGTAATAGTCTTAATTAACTTGCCTATATTTTAGGTTTTAATAAAAATTAAATTTATGCAGGTGGCATGGGTTGGGGCGGCGGACGCATGCAACGTGGTCCAAGACATCGATCCTTTATGAGATGAAATTGTAAATAATTAATTATATTGTGTAATGTGTTTGTAATAACAAAAAATGCATCACGTGTTTGTTTTATATCTTTATTATCTTCAATTATAGTTTTTTACGAATACCAAACACGATAGATGATACTTATCTTATCTAGTTTGCAGTTTCAGTATGCATATGTGCATATACTGCAATGTCCTACTGGTTTAATTAATACTATGGACGCGCAACTACGGTGATAAACAACTGATTCCATCCGACGCCAACACCCTACCTTCACTACATTCACACCTCCCAATCAACACGTTAGATCCTTCCTGAGAAATAGCAAAACAAAATTCGGAACATCCTTGCTTCGCACATGGATCATCTTCTGCTCTTTGCGCATCTTTACTATACACTTTTACTCCGTACAATCCTTTCGACGGGTGCCTTTCCACCATGAGATGTTCGTCTCCGCCATTTTTGTTGTAACGATATAGACCGTTACTCTTCCAGTCAGTCAAGTACATGAACTCTTTGTGGATCACTATCGAAAATGGATGTTTTATAAACTTTGAGGTTATAGTCACGATACCTTGGCCATCCAAGTTTGCGTGCTGAACTTGGTGCAGTTGAGCGTCGCACCAATAAATGCGATCTTCCTCGTAATCTACAGCCAAACCATTCGGCCAGCCCACAGTTACGTTCTCAAATTTGAGCACATCTTTACCATTCGTTTTCGCTCTGCTTATACCAGGTTGTCTTCCCCATTCAGAGAAGAAGATGTAACCTCTATTCGGATGGACTGCCACAGCACGTGGCTTATTCAAATCTCGCAATAATGTCTTCGTGTGTGTAACGTTTTTAACATTTAAAACATCAATCGTCCCCCTTCGTGATTGAACGAAATATAAGTTTTTCGAAATCCAATCGAGGGCCAAATGTTCGAGCTTCACTTCACCTATCTGTTCCGACGCCGAGAGCAACATTTCTTTGTTTGTCCCGTTCTTGTTTATCCTGTATATGCGGTTGTCGAGTATTTCTGTGTAGTATATCTGTTCTTCTTCGTAGTCGAAATCTAAGCTTATAAATATCATACTGGGTGCTACATCTATCATGATTATGTTGTTGTAGTTTTCCACCGCCGGGTCCAGACCTACGCCTTGTACTGTTGAGTGTTGAGAGTAGATAAGAAACTCATCGATAAGATCACAGCTTTTAAAATCTCTATTCAAGGTAAAGCCAACTTGACAAGCACATCGAAAGCCTAACTGTTCATTTATCGCGGTAACAATGCACAGTTGCTCACAACCGCCGTTGTCACTTCCACAAGGGTTTTCTATTGGAACTTGTCGTTCTGGATGTACGATAGACAACGCTTTGAAGTATTTAACCTCTGGTGTAACTTCTCCTGCATAAATCTCGCTCATATTAGACTGTAAGTCATTGTTGAAGGAAAAAGCTTTGTGTCGAAAATCATCTGTCCAAAATAGTGTATTTTTAAATACGGCCAATCTCACTGGAGCTATTAACGAGTCGCTTGGTAAAATAGTAGTTCTGTGGTTCCCGTTGTAATCAGAGCTATCGATGTACGATAATAGAGCGGGGGCAAAGTATATTCTTTTTGCCTCAATGTCTACGGCCACAGAAAAGGGATTGTCAGTATAAGTAGCCCGAGAAATAATTGTCTCCGAGTGAGTACCATCCATGTTTGCGCGTACAACCTGGAAGTTGAAAGGTTCGGTGGGTAACTTAATGCTTATCTATATATATAATCTATACGTAACTTAATGCTTAATTTAGTAATTGTGTGATTGTTTTTTGAACGGTCTAACACCACTTGATGTTAGTATGGCTAATGATCAACGGTTCTATCGCCCACCAGGTCCAACATTCGTTTTCCATTTCGGGCTTCCTTTGGAAATCTGATCCCTAAACACCGTCGGCAGAAAAAGTCTCAACTTTTATAGCGTTTGGGTTTTGGTCTTTTCGAATATTCAAAGAAGAAATAGGTCGATAGCGCATCTGTTTTAGATGTTATATGGATAAGGTATTTCATCTACGATCAAGTGAACCACATAATCTTTCCTCCTTTATCATAAAAAAATCTAACTCGTCAACATTTATACCTATTATTAATATAGATTATATACAACCGATCTCTTGCAATCAAAGAATACCTGGTCAGTGTCTGCCACAAACATGACTCCAGCGGTCGGGTCCAGGGCGATATCAGAAGGCCTGGACAGGTTCGATGCCAATAATACTGCGTGCCACTTGCCATCAAAGTCAAAGACGTCGACCTTCTTTCCGATCTCATCGGCTACATAGATGTTATCTCCCACCCAATCCACGGCTACGGCCGTAGGCATCCAGGACCCATTTACAGCAATTGTGCGAATTATAACGGATGTGTTCAAGGATTGGAGATATATCTAAACCATATTTTTTTCTAAATTAATATTATAAAGCTGAAGTGTTCGTTTGTTTGAACGTGCTTATCTTAGGAACCACTGGTTCGTATTGATTACTTTTTGTATTGGATAGATAATTTATCGCGGAAGGCTATAGTAACTATACTATAGCACCACGCTCCGACCAATACGAGCGAAGAAGTAGTGGGAAATGTCGAAAAAGAGGGGGAAATTAGCTTTATTGGTGCGAAGCGTACGAAAACGATTCAACAATCTAAAATATATGTATGAAATAATGATTCTCTCTGATTGTATTATTAAAAACATGTCAACGATAATATATGACTATCTTTTAAGATTAAATTGCAAGAACGATGGGACGCGACCGACGTCGTGGGTCACAGCTATATTTTATTAAGAGGATTATAAAACAAGTTTTTATATTCAAAATATCAAAAAAACTATACTACGCGGACAAAGCCGCTGGCACAGCTCGTTAAATATAAACTTACCTTATTATTTTCAGTATCATTACTTTTAGACCAGACAAGCAGATTTTTACGATAGTGATAATCGATTCCTGATGTAGCAGAGTTGTTGGTTAGATCACTGAATGTATTATTATTTTCAATATCCACGCGAATTATTTTCAGCCCATCTGTCAGCAATATCGCCGGCTCTGTACTACTGGAACTATCGATGTCAAAACCTGCAAGTACTAAATACTGAAACCTTGTTTTTCGCAAAGTTTTTTACCCCCTCCTCCCAACTCTATTATAAAAATAAATATTAAAAAAAAGGAACAATTGCTCTAAGTAACAATAATTAGAAATGTTCAAATCCCACACACAGCAGGCTTACAAGTTGTGTGTTATGTTAAAACCTGTACTATATAAATAATTATTAAATTAAAAATACACTATGTTGTATGTTTCAAACTTGAACACACTATAATATACGATGGACAATAACACTTACTTGCATTAACATCTTTTATACCTATCACGATTACACAAGTGATTAAAACCTTCCAAAGTAACATTATCGGACTATATTAGTTAATATATGCGTCTACAGTCTACACTCTTCGATAAACAGACTAAAGACACAACTGAGATCACACAAGGAAAATAGCTTCGAATGAACAAACCTGTTTTGTGGGCTTGTATTATTGGGTCATAATAGCAAAGAACAGATCTTTCTGCTGGTTGATTTACAATTTTTACGCTTACGTAATCTTAAGTTTGCTGTAGTGTACGCGAGTACCCTTTAAATAACATTATTAACTGTTTAAAACGTGAAATTAAATATTTTAAATTTACTACATTACGGCCCGTCGCTTTGAATGCTTTACAGGAGCTGTGGTATTGGGGCAGTTGTAGTTAAATTAAAAATAATTCAGTTTTATTTTGCGGTTTAAACCGTTAAGTGATTTATTGTAGTTATCGTGTCATCTGTATGCAGAATGGTGCAGACACGGTACCTAATTAATTGATTTATTTTATTTAGGTCATTAATTTTAGACTAATGGCTCGGAGCCGATTTCTTCGTGTACTTTTAGGATTGTGGGTAGGATTGGTGACAATTAAATTATTTTAATACGATTAAATTCTTTATACGCAGCTACATATGTGACGTTACGGTACTAATTCCGCTTCTAAACCACCTTAAAGTTTAAAACAACTTGCATTCTTAGGACGTATCCTGCCTTCCCTTAGCCACATGTATCTAAAGCCATCAAGGGCCTAAAGCAGACACACTTTTGTGCCCTTTTCACTAATTGGTGGTTATGGACTTGGACCGAGTTGGTTTATAGGAATTCTCTATGCCCTGCTTTAACAAAACTATTGCTGCCCTAGATTTCAACCCACCAACTCGTTGACCCACTTAACAACAGAGGCAGTGGAAATAAAACAATTATCGAAAATTTAGAAACAAATCAACTTTATTATCAAGATGAAAAAAGATCAAATGATACATAAGCGATGCGATACTCGAAAACAACTACGCTTAGGCAACACAACGTCACTATACATAATATACAATACAATTATACATAAACAAACGAATATCATTAACCATGTAAAATTTTCATTATACGTCGTATAACGTAGGTTGGCGAGTTTGACATTTCACGCCTGGATAAACTACAAACTATATCGTGCTAATAGTGGAAAATATAAAAAAATGTAATAGTAAATTCGTGAAAATAATTATTCTAACAGGTAATAAAAATTAGGATTCATGAAAGATATCTACTTACTAATGCGAATATTTGTAGTTTTTTTTATTAAATACTATCTGTAGTTTACGCGAGTAGTACACATTGAAATAACACTAACGGTTTAAAACGTGGTCTCCCCGTGACCACGGGCCAAAGTTAAAATAATTTTTAAATAAGTTTAACTAATATATATCGCGTTTCAAACCGTTAAAGTTTTTTTATTATTTGTTTTCCAATACTTTAGATAAGATCATAAAAAGATGACACACTTCCCTAACCCAATTGTGAATTGTCAAACTCATCACGCTACATTAGACAACGTATAACTACAATACACCGTGAATTTCGCGCAGCGCTCACTATTAGATTGTCTTTGTTTTAAATTTCATTAAATGATAAAACATCTCACTAGCATAGTTATATTTACAAGGCCCGGAGGCGGCAGTCTGTTCAACGTATAAAACTATCACTCGCGACATGGCACTTGGGGGCCCGTGGGGCCACTGCGATGGCCGTCGGGGCCTCTGCGATGGGTCGGTGAGGCCTATGCGATGGGCCCCGGGCGAGCTCGCTTCGTGGGCGGGGTTGCGCCCCGCGGCAACTAGTCGCCGGGGTGCTCCGGGCACGATCTGTTCACTTCGAACCATTGGTCTATACATCTGTAAACCAATATTCTGTCATGAGTCGCATGATTGTTTAAAAATAAAAATTGAAGGATATGATTTTGAAGAGTGTGCAAAATGTGTCCCCAACATTCGAGGAGTTATGTCACTTCGTACTGAATATTTAAATAATACACTTTTAACGGTTTAAAATAATTTGAAAATAAGTATTGAGAATAAGATTGAGAATGATTTTTTTTTATATTCTAATCGATAATATATTCCGTATATAGTTACAAATCCATGTCACAATCTGTGAATACGATTAAAGAAGCAGACTTAAAAATGTATCCGCTCTTTAGTAATTAAATTATTATATTGATGGAGTTGAAAGTAGTTTGTAAATTCTGGATAATCAACTTAGCTTAGCGCGAATTTCACCAATAATATTATGTCTGCCGTGACTAAGCCAAATCTATTTTGGTCCATTTGATTTGTACTAATTTGTCTTGATATAATTATCTATACTGTTCTAGTCTCTAATTACAACATCACACCTGTTAATTGAATACAGCCCTTAACATTCAATTGAATTAATTTGATTGACTTCTCATTAGGTACTATCATATACATTATTGTTAGGCTAAATCGTCTTTAAAAAGAACACATCCAAAGTTCTGTGAATTGACAGAGCTGGAAAAATGGATAGAAGTGTAGTTACAAAATGATAAAGTTTGAAGAAGCGCAAGTGTTTTTTTTAATCGTTAACAGACTGTTTTTGTAAATGAAAGTCCGTTTATATGTTAAGACTATGAACATATGAGCTATAATAATAATATAGTATACAAGGAGACCAATATATACAAATTTAAGCTATTTACTCGGAATTCGGCCGACCCGAAGGGCCATCGCGAAACGTGTAGGTACTTCTTAAGTTTTGAAAGATGTTTCCCGAATAAAAATAATCTCGCGAAACATTCTGAATGACAATACATTTGTTAAGGTTTTCAATCCTGTCTGTAGTTTACGCGAGTAGTTTACATTTAAACAAAACACTTAACGGTTAAATCTCAAGGACCCGGCCAGTTTCACCTAATATCAACTACGACGGGACTGACTAGCGTAACAGTTATTACTTTGACAGTAGAAACAGTCTCCCCGTGAACACGATCTAAAACATGGGGCCGTAATTAAAATAATTTTCAAATCATTTTAACTAATATATTTCGCGTTTTAAAACGTTACAGTGTTTTATTTAAAAAATAATAAAAATTAAATTTTGTTAGAGGTTTGAGATAAGCAAAATATACGCACCCCTTGTGGTAGATACAGAGGCATGGCAAACGCGCGATGGTATCACCAGCGGAGAGTTCCTCCAGACAAATCACACACTCACCCTTCGCGTCACTCAGCACGTCCTCTGAAACGTTACATAGTTTTTTTTTTAATAATGAGTCAAATTTTGCCTGAACCGAAGCCGAAGTTAGCTTAAATTTATTTATGTAAACTGCTCAATTGCAACACAGTCGCATTTGGATAACTGTTAGGCATACAAGCTGTGTACTAAGCATAAAAGAGTAAGAATCTATGTATCAACGCCTTCATGATTCAGAAATAACTTGTAAATATGTATGTGTATACATTTGTATGTCAATTTCACCGATAGGTCTTATTTCAGAGTCCGACTTATGTGCACCTGTTTGCACAGTTGAAACAATTTATTGTTTCTCCGGGATTCGAACCCAGGACCTCTCGCACTTAACGCAATGCTAAGACATTTATCCATTTATTGTAGAGAGTTTCTCTACAATAAATGGATAAATGACGTAGACATAACAATACAATACTCGTAAACTACGACATATGTCCGAATATCCGATCTGATTCTATGATTAGAAAAGAAAAACATACCATTATACGAGAGACGCGGCCTGGTGAGACACATGACAAGATGACACTCGATGTCGTCCGGCAGCACGAACTTGCTGCAAACTGGACATTTGATACCTGAAAACAGTTGACATGACACGTTAGAGTGATGTTGAAAGGACACTCGTAAACCCCTACAAAGTGTGACACATTCATATTGGATCTATCAACGGCGAGATTGGCTGTTTTGAGTGGAAATAGATATTATCAACAGTACATAAACACATGTTGTAAGAAGACATTTTACAACATGTGCTTAATACAAAAAAACTACAAATAAAACTTCATCTTATAAACAATATTAAGAAATCCTTAAAAAAATAAAGTAAAATTTAATACTAATAATATAGTTGCTTCTGAAAAGGAAGCCACTCAGCCACGTTGGGGACTAATGTCCCAACACTGATATTCTGTGGTCCCTTGAATTTTACATTCTTTCGTGTTTGAATAAAAGTACTTTTAACGGTTTAAAATGCGAAGTATATTAACTTATTTGAAACTATTTAAACGAATACATTCCCGTTTTAGACCGTTAAAGTGTTTTATTTAAAAGTGTAACTCCTGTAAAGTACAGACAGTTCTTTTATGTATTTGGTAAAGAATTCTTAAAACAAATGCTCATAAATGAAGACTGTGTATTATATAAAAATCAGACACAATGCCCTAAACAATAATATTGGATCACTACACAAAACGAACGTATTCTTTTCCTTCCAGAGTATACAAATATATTTTGAAAGAATGATTGATATAAAACAAATTGATCTAAATAATATTGTCATAGAAATAAAAGACGAACACAATCCAATAGTGCCAACATAAAACAAATATTTTTCAAGCGTTTCCATTTTGCGAGATAAAACTCATACATATGCATCGGGAGAGCGAGAGAGCTAGAAGAACTTCAATTAGTGACGAATGTAGACATTGCATCGAATGCATGTGCTCAGCCACAGGACCTGAGTGCTGATTTAAGGCACTCTTCAGATTACGCTATAATATATTAGCTTATAAAGAATTAATATTTGAGTAATATAGTATCAAATACTGTCTATAGTTTACGCGAGTAGTACACATTTAAATAAAACACTAACGGTTTAAAACGCGATATATTAGTTAAACTTATTTTTTAAACCGTTAAATTGTTTTATTTAAATAAATAATATAGTATCCTTAAAGTTTTGGTTTGCGTTGCACCAGCCATGGTCACGTCTGACCGTAGTTAAAATAAATTGCAATTGTTAAATTAAATTGTTAACTAATATTCGCGTTTTAAACCGTTAAAAGTATTTTATATAAATGTGTACTACTCGCGTAAACTACAGACAATACATGAAACCATTTCAAAGTATATTTAAGCTCACGTGAGAAAAACTGATGTAAAAGTGTTAAAAGAATCCATGGGGCGGACACAATTCTGTGTCTATTATACTGATAGGTAATTAATTGATTAAACTGCTGTGTCTTGCTCTACAGAAGTTCTATGAAGTTGCTCCAGAATTTGAAGCCGGAATCTTATAACAATTGAGCAACACAATTTCGGACCCGATCCCACTAGGTTGTACATACTATATGCAAGCTATAATATTTTAACGTAGTCTAGAAAGACCCTAACGCAGAACAAAGTTATCACGAGTTCACTAGCTAGGTGTAATCACATAGGTAAATAAACAATAGGTAACGCTATTGCACGTACGGGTAAATTGATAGTTTAAATGTGACATATGTTTTTATATATTCAACAATTACTTACAATTTTTAATAGGCAATACTGAAAATTTCAAATGCAGGTCATAATGCCTTATCATGTTACTGGTCGTATTTTTTAAACTTTATACAGCGTTCACGCTGTTTACACTTCACGCGTAGTAGTACACATTAAATAAATCACCTTTTAACGGTTTAAAACGCGAACTATATGAGTAACTGAATATTAAATTTCTTAGTACACATCTTATAAGGCGTAGATTAAATAAAACACTATTTAGCGGTTTCAAACGCGAAATTCACAATTTGTAGATTAATATTTTTAGGTTATAAAAATATAAATAAGTCAAGTCATACATTTGCAGTTAGGCTACTCTAAATCTATCAACCTCGTATACACATATGATTTTGTGGTGTTAAGTGGGAGTGGTATCTAATTGATGAGGAAAAATATTTATTCATATTCTTACAATATACACCTCAAGGAAAATAGAAGGTATGTACCACGCCAGTCAATATCCGGCTCAGGGGGTACATCCTCACCTCTCAGCACGAGAACGGATCCTGCTTTACAACCAAGGAATCACTTAGCAACCGACGACAATTCACTTCCTAAATGCATTAGAATTTCAAATATCCTAGCGAGAAGAGGTGCTACAAGTAAAGAATGAAATTCAACTGCATTTCTAAGTACTGTCTGTAGTTTAGGCGAGTAGTACACATTTAAATAAAACGCTTTAACGGTTTAAAACGCGACATAGATTAGTGAAACTTATTTTAACTACGGATCAGCGTTTCGGATGCGTGGTCACGGTGAGACTCTGAAAACGACGGCTCGTAGTTGAAATAATTTAAATAAGTTTAACTAATACATCGCGTTTTAAACCGTTAAAGTGTTTTATTTAAATAAGTTTAGTGTATCAACCGCTACGCTAGAAGAAACACACAAAGCCACGTTTCGCTCTAGTGCTGTTAAAAAGGTCACCTCTCAAACATGTTAGCGCTATGAGCGAACGCTTAATTTATTTTCCGAATAACGTAATACTTTTACATTCAATAAAAAGTCGAACAATATCGTTAGCAATAATTTGAAACACGAAAACGCGAATGGAAAAGCGACTCGGAATTAATCGGTAAAAATTGAAAATATTTATAAATTTTACTCCAACGAAATATCTTTTGTGGACGTTGATTGCGACACAGGCTTCGTTTCCACTACTGGCATCAACGATCTAACTTCGCGATAAACGCGTTTTATTTGTTCAATTGCGGGCTATATCGAGTCGTGGTATATCTAGAGTCTGGACTAATATAGAAGCTGAAAAGTTTTGTTTGTTTGAACGTGCTAATCTCGGGAACTACCGGTTCGAATTGAAAAAATATTTTTGTGTTAGTTGGATTGCGTTGCGTGCGCTTTGGAAACGGTTTAAGAAACCATTAAGATATGATGGAATGATTCTTCTTTAAACAATCTAAAATAATGTCCACGACTGAAGGCGAACGGCGTCGTCGATAAAACAGCTATAATTCATAAAGATGAGGTTTACAAAAACAAATTTTGATGTCAAAAATAACTATTCCACGCGGACGAAACCGCGGGCACAGCTAGTTTCAAGTACAAAACCGTATTTATATTGGGCATAAAACTTTACGACTATAAGTATTTCGATTTGGACGTAAACAGATATGGCACGAGGAAAACGATAGTCAAAAACGAAAATAATGTTTCTGGCCCTGGCGTTGCTATCTGTGATACAGGAGGCCTCTAGTGTTGTGGACTGTAGGCTCGCTTGCAGGAGATGCAGGGAGAAATCAGATTTGTTCGAGATGGTCGAAGTGTACTGCGCCATGTGTAACGAATGTAAGGAGAGACGGATAGAGCGAATGCAGGCTGCCACGACCACCTTTACCGACAAGACCGATTGTTATCCAATGCAGGGTGAATTGTTGTATTAAATTTAAATAAAAAACTTTAACGGTTTAAAACGCGATATATTAGTTAAACTTATTTGAAACTGATTTTTAACTTCGGCCCGACGTTTCGGATGCTTTGCAGCAGCCGTGGTCACGGGGAGACTCGGACACGGGCGTTTTTAACCGTTAAAATGTTTTATTTAAATGTGTACTACTCGCGTAAACTATAGACAGTATTTTTGTTGTAATAAAACTGAAATCGTAATTACATTACATGAAAGCAATGTCAGCTTTGAATAAGGGCATACTTAAATAGTGTCAGTAGTTAAATAAAACTCTAACGGTTTAAAACGCGATATGTATTAGTTAAGCATCCGATACGTCGGGCCGTAATTCATATAATTTTCAAATAACTTTAACTAATACATATCGCATTTTGAACGGTGAAAGTGTTTTGGATCTATTTTGGCTTAGGATATTCAGAAATACACAGATTTTTTCATCTGTGGACGTGATCCGGATGGAGTTTCGATATTCCTACCACCGCATTTAATATTCAGGTGAAATCCAATGTTTCAGAAAAAAAAAAATTGGTTCAAAAAATGTTGGTCCAGTGGGGGTCGAATCCGACCCTTTGATTACGAAACAACTGACATACATTGCTAGAATAACACCAACGAGCCCTTTACATTGAATAAAAGCATTTTCATTTCGTCCTAGAGATGCCCGACTGTCCAGAGCCATCTTGCGAAGAGACAGAAAGCACTAAGAAGATACCGCTAAAGAAAATAGTTACCACCACAAGTACCACGACATCGACCACAACACATCGCCCGTGCCCAACGCAGCCCTGCAAAAAACCCACTCCCTGTTACTGTCTTCCGTTTCAGCCGGTCGCCATGTGCCCTTGCCCAGAACCAAGTCAAGCTACTACCGAGATTTTCAAACAGAAGCTGCACCTCGCGACAAAGAATAAGGACTTCATGTATGCGTATGTTGGCGTACCGAAGTATGTTTTAAATGAACAATAGTGACTGTAACTAGTACTTAGTAGGTTCAACAATAAATTAAACTCTTCTTAACGGTTTAAAACGCGTACTATATTTGTCAACTTAATTTAAATACGGCTGTACTTTTATGATGCTTTGCAGTAGCCATGCTCACATAATAAAATAAAATACAGTTTATTCTCTTTAACATTTTAAAAATTATTTAGATTCCTCATAGAATGTCGTCTGTCTGTCTGTCGTGATTCTACAGAGTATATATACTCACGTTTTAAACCGTTAAGTGTTTTATTGAAATGTGCGCACGACGACGAGGACAATAGTCGGTTTAAGTATTTGTTAAAACGTAGTGAGTACGTACAATTAGTAATTAGATACGTATTGTAAACGGTAAAGACCGAACCTGGAAGAAGGGTTCCGTAACTGTATATTTCATACAATTCTAAAAACAATATTGTTTTTAAGAAATCAGTCAAATAATTATATTATCCTACTTTAGTAACATAGTAGTGTCTGATTTAGTGGTCACTGTTAAAATTATAACTGTAAAAACATAGAAATCTTAAATTGTCAACTACGAACAGAGGCAGCGCCCCGTTACAGTTTTGTACGGAACCCTAAAACATTATATAGTTTCATCAATTGTAATTAAACTCTCGAAATCTCAAGAACGCTTGAAAGAGCTACGTGACGATATGCAATAGCGTGACACATACGTACATCAAAATAAACCATTCAGAGAATGCGATACAAACGCGGCAAGAAAGGTCGGGGCTGCTGTTTTATACATTTAAAAATAGCTGAGGCAATTCACATTGAATTGCGTGCTTAAACTAAGTTTCAGAGTAAATAATTACGACATTGAAACATCTCAACTGCTTGACTTTCAAGAAATTTTCAGGCGACAAGCAAGAACAAAAGATTTGTAGCCGCGTTCAAAACGTGACCTTGCCGAGGAGAATAGTTTGTGTTCATGCCTTTAAAATCTACGAATAGTTAATGCTATTCAGAGTTTAAATACATTTATGAATAAAAATATATTTTAATGATGCCCTTAAAACGGTTTAAAACGCAACGTTTTGTATTACTTTTTAGCGTCTTTGTCGGGCGACTATAGATGGTCGAAGAAACTTGCTCAAATATCATTTACGATGAGATAGATGGCGCTAGCGTAGCAGTATAGTATTTCGCACTACCACGCCCACCGGCTTTCGTAGATTAGTAAAAAATACCGGAAAATATTATGTTGATACAACTAACAAATAATTGTTAACAATGGATTAATTTCTACCAAATTTGATTACTATAAAAATAGGTTCTTTTGAGTTGAAAGCTACTTAGATCATTTAAAAAGAAATCATTCTTTTATACATATGTTTTGATTTCTTAAACCGTTCTCGCAGCGCACGCAAACGATAGCCTTCAAAAAAAGAATAATTGTCCCCGTTTTTTCCACACTTTCCACCATTCCTTCGCGCCAATTTGTCGCAGCGTAATGTTATTTATAAGAATGTTCTATCCAACACAAAAAATTCAATTTGAACACAATTAGTTTTTGACCTTTGCGGGTTCAAACAAGCAAACTCTTCAGCTTTACAATTTAAGTGTAGTTGTTCCATTCACCTATATTACAGAGTATTAAATTTGTTTTAGAGAAGGGCAGAAATATAGGCCTAATAAGAGGGGAAACCTTGCAAGTTTCCCGTATCGACCCTTTTGTCGCTCAACAAGTTGTTGCGTGCCATCTTCCAATCGGTTCGAAATCTACCCTCATTATAGTCTATTTTCGTAACGGGCTCCATGGTAACAGAAGTGATTTACGAATGTGATAAAACGATATCCGAGGCTATTGATCTATTTGTAACGTACAAATAGCACTATACATAAAATACGAATATAGTATTTTTCTCGAGTAGTACAAATTTAAGTAAAACATTATCAACGGTTTAAAACGCGAAATACATATATAACATTAGTATAGTATTAGCCTTCCTTGATAAATTCTCTAACTAAAACAAAAATAATTCTTCAATTCGAACCAGTAGTTCATGAAATTGCGCGTACAAACAAACTCTTCAGCTTCATAATGATGGTAGCAATGTATGCATTGCTACCATCATTATGAAGAGTTACCCATAGGTAATGATTGATGTCGCGGTTTCGATTCCCACCAGGTCCAACATATTTGTAACATGCTGGACTTCCACAGATGATATAGCCGTGAAGCTTAATCGCGTTTCGATTTCAGTCGGTTCTACTATTACCTACAATCCTACTCCTCTACCAATATAAAAGAAAAAAAAATAGTAGTAGTATGTTTTTAAAGCGGTTATAAAAGCTTGTACAACTGTCATTTTGAATTAGTACAAGACTGTACTTAAAAAAAATGACGTAGAATTCTTTAAATATAAACGAGATCCATTACAGTGAAGCGGATAAGGTAGGATGACGATATTTGCGACGTGATTAGCAAACAAACTGTGGATATACACCTGGGCTCTCCGTATGGGCAGCGACCTTAATAAAAACTACATTCCTTAACAATACTTTGCACTCGGTCGTTGAGAATAAAGCGTATATCAAACTTGTTAGTAGCCAAGTTCCATTGTTTTACATGCTTAGTTTACATACATGCTATTGATTCTATATGCAAAGGTTGCCTGAAAGAAATCGCTATATGCGATAAGGCCGCCCCTTTGCATGTAGCAGTGTCTATGTTTGTGCAAAAAAGATTGATATTAAGTATTATTATTATATAAAATACATCGGCGTCGATACGTTTTAAAACAAAATAATACTTTAAAAAACAGCGCTGTGCGATTTCCTTCATGCAGTATTTAGCTGAGTCTAAATCCAGATGAGTTTTAAGTGCAAGCAAATTATTTAATTTGATAACAGTTGTTTCAAATTAAATCATTTATTTCACATGCAATGAAACGAAAAACATAACCTAAAAATAAATTCGTCAAATAAGATGTAAGTATGTGGAGGGACATCACTCAACTTTTTCGTAACAATAAAAAATAGATTTTCTTTCTTTAATATAAAACTCTTAAACGGTTTAAAATGCGAAAAGTATTAGTTTTACGACCAATATGCATGAACTTTGTAATGAATTATACATACACGCATAACTCGTCTACTTAAACATGTTTTTAATTGATTTACTAGGATAAAAATACTGTATTATATTGGAGTCGTTCTTTTAATGACCCACTAGTGGTTCAAGTTAAAAAGAACGTTAGCAAATAAGTATATTACCTTGTCTATAGTTTACGCGAGTAGTATACATTTAAATAAAACACTTTAACGGTTTAAAACGCGGTATATATTAGTTAAACTTGTGTGAAAAGTTCAACTTCGGCCTGACGTTTCTGATGCTTTGCAGGAGCCGTGATCTCCCTTGGCAAGTTTAACTAATATAAATCGCGTTTTAAACCGTTGTAGTGTTTTATTTATAACCTTGTTGTATGCTTCTTTAATAAAATTATTTTTATAACAACAAGAAAAAATCTGGTGTCTGTAACGCTGGCTTACAAGATAGGACCTGTTCCATTTATGAAGCACAATACATAATATGTAGTTAACATAATCTACGCTTTTCTGAATATAAATATTAGTTCTACGGTCGTATAATCTATAATATTGCAAATTAATGCCTAATAAACGACAAAGCCATGTTAAAATTGTACTACAAACAAAAGCATTAATCTTTGACACACCTTAATATATGTTTATTATTCAGGAAACGATCAGCGAAAAACCTCTTAGTTAGGTACAAGTTTAACGTTCAACAAGCTCTGTGTTATATTCACGTTATGAATTTGCATCGAGTCAATTTGAATACCAATAATAAAGTTTCTACAAGGATCGACAGTCGATTATCTACGTTTAGACCAGGGATGCACGGGCTTATAAAGACTAGAGGCCACTCGGGCAAATTATGAACTGACTTTGCAGCAGCCGTGGTCACCGGAGACACGTTTCCAGGTCCCCCGTGACCACGGCTGTCAAAGAATCGAAACGTCGGGCGAATTAAAAATAATTTCAAATAAGTTTAACTAAAATCCGTTTTAAACCGTTAAAGTTTTTATTTAAATGTGACTGGTAACTAGCATTAATAATTAATGTATTAAAATTGAAAAAAAAAAATATTAGAGATATATTTTTTGTTGACGACAAGCCACCAGTATTCGACCGGCGAGCCGCGGTCCTAAGGTTCCTAAGGTAACGGTTCGTATTCGCAAGAAGTCCTAGGTTTTAACCCCGGTCAGACATTATAATTTAGGTCAAGAAATTGGGTTTCAAAGTCGATTTGAAAGATAAGAAATTTAAATAAAACAATATTAACCGTTTAAAACGAGAATTAAACTGGTAAACTTATTTTTAATTTACTTTAACTACGGCCCGACTGCGTTTAGGTATCCGAAACGTCGGTGCCGGCTGCTGTTTACAGCAGCCTTGGGGTCTATTTCTAATACCTACTGGCATAAGCTTTAGACAACAACATAATACTTATTAAATTACATTTCCCTGTAATGAGTCTACAAAAATTACCATATAGGATCCTTCGCGGCGGGCGCCTCATCTGAGCGCCGTACGCAACATCGGGCTCAGAATCTGGCACACAAGTTCCTATTATGATGCCCATCACAAACACACTACGTCCGATTCATCACAAAACGGTTCACACTTCACACTCACTTGACCACTATAGTCAATATTCCATGTCTATTTTTAAACACAGAATTATGTTTACTGTATACATTAAAAGGCGATTAAAAATTGGAAAAAAAAAATCGACGACGTAGGACTCCGTAGATCAATTGGTTAGAGCAACAGCACGAAACGCTCAAGTTACAGGTTCAAGTGCTGCCCGAGTCGATTTTCTTTTAAATCGACTTTTTATAGTGGCATCATGTGCAATACATTAGGCACATGCACACAAAATCAAACGTTACGCGAATGTTAAATTATAACAAGAGGTTTTAGCTCAAGTATTGTTAATAAGCGTTCCCGACGAC